AATAGTATTCGTTGACCGCATTGCACCTCACAGGGTGTTTTTAAGGATAAATGAGATAACGTCTGTGAAGCCCCCGGGGAGGAAGCCCCAGTGTAGATAAGTGCATACTCGGGTATTTTTAGCTGAGCATTGGGTGTTCAGGACGTGCCATTTTTTTTTTTTTTTTTTCAGGACATGCCATTTAGCAATTCCTGGAGCCTTGAAAAGGAAAGAGAAAGGGGTGGGGAGACAGGGAATCAGTGGCATACAGCACATGTTGTTTTTCGAGAAATCCCTCCCACCCCGAGTGTAAGAATCCACGTCAAAGGAAGCAAACACCATGTGTAGATAAAACAGGAAGGTGACAGGTTTGCTTGCTTGCAACTAAGACTGGGGGGGATGGCAGTCCCGGCTGCGTGTTCACTCTGGGAGGGGGGGGCAGAGGTCCTGTCGCCAGCTACTCCGCTGATAATGAAACCAGGGTTAACTCACTCTCTGTCCTGTGTAGAATGGCAGGAAACATCTTCATCACCCATGACTCCTGGAGAGAGTGGCCGGGGCGCGGGGGGGGGGGGGGGGGCATTTCCTGTCAAGATTCCGGAAAGGGTGCTTGCTTTCCACGGAGGCAGGAGCACCAGCACGCTGACCTGCACAAGCCAGGCTGCAGAGTGACCACGGGGCCCGGCCCACCCTCCTCGGACTGTATCTGCTTCATAAGCACAAAGCCTTTGAGCAAGTCATAACAGGAACCTTGGAAAGATAACGTACTTGGAGAAAGGTCTTGGAAGAGTTCATCCAACTGCTTCGTCAATGCTCTTTTGCCTTTTCTTCCCTGTTCTGTAGTAAAAATGTTTATTTCTCAGTCCCCAGCTACAGATCTGCATCTCCTTATATCTGAAAAGGCAGTTGCGTTTGAGCACCTCTCGTGCCCCGGCCCCGAGTTAAACGTTTTGTGTACATCGTGTCATTTAACACTCCCTGCGAAACTGTGATTTGTTGATCCATTTTTTCATCAATTTATTTATCGATATATGATCCATTTTCCCAGGCAATAAACGAGGCAGATAGCTAGACTGAATAGCGGTAGTTCAATCCGGGTTCAGATACTGTGTCGCTGTATATAAACAGCATGGCGTTCAGGAAATCATTTCAGCTTTCCAAGCTCAGTTTCTTTATTTATGGGTTGGAGGGCATGGTTGCCATTACAGGATCATTATGAAAGTTAAATGAGATAGAGCAGATGAAATTTGAATTTGATCGTGTGTTATGACTTCTTTATGACTATTCTGTTAAACTCAGAAGCCAAAAAAGACACGGAGTAAAACTAGGATGTCTTTCTCAGGCTGCTTGACCCCAGGCATTCAAATTTATTTCAGAGTAAAATCCATGGGAGAGAGTAATTTTATGTTGACTTTGGCTATCCTGTTAGTTTTGCTTTCTTAAAACAGAAAGAGTATGCCCTCTGTAGATACCTGCAGAGATAATCTAGCTATGCCTTTTTGATTGTGTAAGATTATCCCTTGGTTTGTGAAGCAATGACAGGCAGAACCTATTTTGAGGGAATGAGTGATGAAACTCGTATCACATCCCCTGGTCTCTCACGGTGAGCGGTTTAGTATCAAGCCAGAAATCACCTGCAAGATAAAGGATTGGGAGATATGCAATTTCCTTAGAAGATAGGAAGGTTTTAATTACATGAAGTCCTAAAACATTAGCTTCACCAAGGACCCAATTTACTTAATTACAAGTGAGGAAATTAGGAGCCAGTTCAGTCAAGCTCAAATTCCCACAGCCAGCAAAGGGTAGGGGCGGGATTAGAGCTCAGTACCCATAACCCAAGGTTCTTCTCACTGTATGGGATTCAGATTTTGCATTTCCTGTCCTCCACATGTTCTCTTAGTTGAGTATCTCGTACCCTTTTTCTGAGTATTCTCCCCCTAAAACAATGGATGGGGTTTGTAATAGGGCTTTCCCAAGGGAAATGTTCATAAAATATTTGTAATGTGAAAAAAACAATGGTGTACCTGGAAATACTTTACTAAGCAGTTTCTCGAATCTCTGACTGGCTCTTCCTGTTACTAATACTCGGACTTGGATCAGTTAGCTCAGATAGTGTAGACAGCCATTCACCTGGAGCAGGACAACGCAGAGCAATTGTTCTCCCCCACCCCCCCACCTTCTTAAAAATGTGTCATTCTTTCCTCTCTTCTCAGGATTGTCCCTCATTTGAGGAATATTAACTATTGCAATTGCCTTCAAGTAATCACACCCCCCAATGACAGGTCTGTCTCTAGCAGCAAATACTTCTTACCGGTGGAGAATTAGACAAAGTGACAAGGTTAATTCCCAACAGGACACGAGGATGTTGGTGGTGTGAGGCTATCATGCTCGGGGAGGCACATCAATTACTTCCCTGACAGTCCAAAACGAGTGGGGGAAGGGCTTCATCTGTGCCTAGAATATTACCTCCTCTCAACATGTATCAAGGCCTTTGATGTTCTTCGTGATGTGAGTGGGAGGAAATCAAGGTGCTTTCTTGAAAACCGGCTTTGGAAATTCCATTTGTGCGAGGTTTGAAAATGATTGGGTAGAAATGAACTCCAAATGTGAAAGGGAAAGACATGCATTATGTGCCCTGTGCGACTGGAGTCTGTTCTTCTGGCAAACCTTGCCAAGACCCATCAGGCACGGAGGGAATTATCAGCTTATCAAGTGGAAAGGTGAAATGAGTTTTATCATCTTCTCACAAAAATGACAATTCTAGTGTCAAGTTTCATTTGGTTGATAAATGTCATGTGGGGAGGGACAGCGGCAGGCCCATGGCCTCTCTTGGCCAGCCTGCGCACAAGATGGCGGAATGGAAGGACTTGAGGGGAAGACGCTAGGATTTGGAGAGAAAGGCCGGCTGCAATTCGTGCTTACCTGAGAGGAACTGAGCGATCAGCGAGCCTAAGAGACAGCCATATTGAGTTGTAGCGCCATGTCTAGCATGTGAATTTGTGTCCGTTGTATCAATTTATGTCACCCGCCACGGTGAAATCTCTGACAAATCCCAGTGAGGGATTGAGGATCTTGATGCTGCCTTTAGCATCTTGGTTGGTTCATCCCACGGATTCTTGAAGTATTTATACCAGATATAAAATGGTTCCTCAGATTCTAAACAACTGCATATTGTTCCATCTCTAGTATGTGAACATCTTTTTTTTTTCTTTTCTTTCTTTTTTTTTTTAGTAGGGAAGGGCTATTGATACTTAATATAAGCCAACTTCAGTTGATACTCGGGGAACTTAGGTTGAGTGAAAGAATGCCCAGTGAACACAGTGTTACCGAATTCGATTCCTTCCTTTAACACCTTACTACTCAAAATGTGGTCCACAGATCACCAGCATCCTCACTATCAGCAGAATTGTAACAGAAAGTGCCAAATCTCATGGGCTCACTCCAGACCAACCGAATCAGAGTCTGTATTTTGCAAAATCCTCGAGTGATTTTTACGCACATTAAAGTTTAAGAAACTCTGCTCTCAGACACCATGACCGTGAGCTGGATGGTTTATACCAGGTAAATGGTAATATCTTTTATGTCTTCTGATCTTAATTATAAAGAATCTTCTAGACCTGCATAACTGAAAGGGGCAAATGTGTGTATGTATAGCACAAAGCATGATCACACCATGTTTTAGGGGGAAAAAAAAAAACTGAAGCTTTTAAAATAGCTTAATGAAAAATCTCTCATTTCTCTTTTCAAATATTATTATTGATATATCAATATACCTAAATTCCTTAGAGGGTTTTGAACTCCTGGAAAGTAAGGGTCAGATTTCAGGCATTTCTATATATCACTACAATTATGCACATAATGATTGTTTGAAAATGCCTATTGAGCAGGCTCAAACTTCTGGATAAAAATATTCTCTTTCACAGCACCCACAGGTTCTTTCTCTAAAACACTAATTACAGTTTATAATTGTGTATTTCAGTGCTTGCTTCTTTCATGTCTGCTCCTTCTGCTAGGTATCAAACTAGAGGAAAACAGCACAAGGTTTGTCTCATTCACTTTGGTATTGTGTTTGTCAAACCAAGGAGATCAGGGTGGTCACTGTGGCACGAATTCAGATGTGCCAAAGGCATCCTTAATCAGGTCATGATTTTACCTTTCTATTTGGAGAGGAGGGGAACGACAACAACAAAACCAAAAAACCAAAAAACCATTCTTTATACACAATCTTTATACAGAAATCCTGCTTCTGTAAGAGAAATTGTGTGAATTATCAACAGTTGTCAGTTCCTAACCCCCTGGACGGCTTAGCAGATTGAAAATGTCCATTGCCTCCCGGAAGCCCCAAATTTGGCCTCTCTTTGCTCCATCCACCCTCACCTTCAGCAAGAAGTCGTTGCCAATTCTCCGAAGTAGATACGTTCAGTTTCAAGCCCTAAGAACAGTCAGGGGTGTTCTTCCCCGCCACCCCCTCCCCCTCCACCCCGCCCCCAGAATTGCCCCATCAGAGAGAGGCTTCCACACGTCTGCAGTACCAGCTCCGTCCCTAGATTCTTCTGGCACCAAACCCATCTTTCCTTCTCAGTTGCTGCTTCTTTGTTGGTGCAGGAGAGCGCTTCCTCCCGCTCTGGGGACTTGGGGTTTAACCCTGCCCGTGTGCGCTACTGTGTGTTTGCGGTGCTTCTCTCGCCTCCTGCGCCATTCTGTGGGTGTTTTTCTTGATCAGAAGTGGAACCACTGACTCTCCATAGCCGCCGATGTTTGTGCAATTCTCTGCAAAAATGGCTTCAAGTGTTACCTTGCCTGCTCCACTTCGGGGCAACCACAATGATGAGCAGGCACGAACCCCCCGACACAGCATGTCACCTCCCTGCCGGCCCCCGATAAGATCAACAAGCTTCGGGCTGCAGACGCTGCACTCTGCACCGAACGAGTGGGGGGCACTACGCACTCCCTCACGGGGGAGGGGGGAGGGGGAAGAGGAGGGGACAGGGAGAGGGGACTTGCTTGGGCTGCCACTGCTCCCCCAGCGTCCCTCTTCCAGGAGGGGGAGGAGGGGCATGGCTGAGTTGGGGGGGGTGGTCTGAGGGTGCATTTCAGAAGCACAAAGGGGGCCAGAGGGACTGGCGACTTCTCCACATCCCATCACAATAACCAAGAAAATGGCTTACCCGGTGAGCATTTACCCTGAGCCCCACAAAGTGCTACAGTGTTTACAAAATAAATATATAAATAGGCTCTCTGGGCCACCTCTCATCTCTCAATGTATCTCTGCTTCCGAGCTGATGGGCGGAGACCCACAGACGTCAGCATCTAACCCCAGGCAAGAACTCACCACCCTTGCAGCCCCGGTAAGGTTTTTCAAATTTTTGTTTTGCATGTTACAAGGATTCCTTGTGACTCAAAAGGGAAGAGTAACCCTTGATTGGGACAGGATTAGATAGTAATTGTCTCGTGGGCAGGATTATCTGGGTCTCATCTTCATTACCAAAGTCATGCTCAGTAAATTCAAACTGACATTGCCCGGGCATGGAACCCTCAGTGTCAGGAATCTGATAACCCCTGACACAAGGAGCAGGTGGAAGGCGTTTGCATTTAGGAGAAGACATGAGGTCCAGGGCTGGATGGTGTGGGGGTGGCTTAAGGGACTTTTGTTTGGTTGAACCGAGGGTGGTAGGAGGCGGGGATTTTTTGCACACACCAGGAAACTGAGGCAAGGAGCGGAAGACTGGATCCAGGATACACAATGAGTCAGCTGACACAAGAAAGGTGCCATGGCAAGGGAATTATTTTCCCCCTAACTCTGTGAAAGACGGCTGGTCATGAGAAGAAATTATTCATTTACATTTTTTTTTTTCCAGGAAGACAACAGCTATTAAGTTTCACTCAGAAGAAGAAAGAAATGGACATCTGCAATGTTCCAGTTTTCCTAGATGGAGAATCTAATGCTATGAGAGAGGTTAGGCAACTTGGCTGAGGTCACAAGGCAAATGTGTGGGGTGGCAAGGAGGACATTACCGGGTATGACCGTCAACCCCACTGCGGCCCCATGTCTGACATGCAAAACTGGCAGACAAGGCTTTAACTCTGCCCAGTGAGAGCTCACACCTAATTTTAGAGGGTTTCTGGCTGTCCCTTCCCGGCTTGAGGGTCGAGCCTTTTCTCCATGGGGCCTGTTTAGGTTGGGAAATCTGCAGAAGTTCCTGCAAAGGGGTGTGCTGACACCTTCCATCCATTGGTCACAGCTGCCTGCTTCTCTCCTCAGGCTCAGCCTCTCTCCTTAGCCACACATGCTTGGCCCCAGGAGCAGGCACTCCTAACATGACCTATTAGTAACTGCGAAAGCGTCCCCTGTCCCTGCTCCAAGGCCCAAAGAAATCCGCCAACCGTCATAGCTGCCTCAGTAGCCACAAGAATGAAATTGGGAGACCACGTACTGAGCATGATCTTACACTTCTAAAAAGAGAACAAAAGCAACAGGAAGAAATGCAAGTAAAATTCTGGTAGGCCTCTGGCACTGCTTATAAGCAGTGCCCAGGAAGGAGACCCTGGGAATACCTAAGGCAGTCACTATGCCTGGATGTTGTTGGGCTCATCCTGGGAAGGGCAACTCCAGCAAAAGGAGCCCCTCCTCCTGGGAATTTTGCACGGGTCTCTGGGGCCACGCTTCCTTGGCCTCTCTGTGTTAGCTCACAGTTGGCCCGTTTCTCTCTTTCCATTCAGAGCTAAAGGTGATAACTCTCTGCTGTTTCGAAAGGCTTTGGGGGCACTGCTTATCACAACTGGATCAATCACTGCCAGACTTTATTAAATACTCTCACTTCTGACCTTGACCAGCAATACTGCTCACAGATCTCACAATGCCAGATTCCAAGGTTCCAAAGATTGGAGCCGCTGAACCAAAGTGTGGAGAGTCTCCAGGGGAGTTTTTGCTTGCAAACAGAATCAGAAATTCCTGGGCAGGAGAAAAGTGAAGAGAGAGCATGGGGACAAAAACAAGTGTCTCCCCACCCCTCCTCGGCATCTTCTTGGGATACCTAATTTCTTGTCCCAGTTTCCTTTTCTTCAACACATAATCAGCAATAGGACAGGAGCCATTCATATGTATTTAAGAACAGTCACCTCTGACTGTCTCTCAGAAGCCTCTTTCCTCTCTCAACACTCCTCCCTCCCAGAGGAGCTGGAAAAGTTGCCTAGGTTATATGATCTTCATGCTTTCAGAAGCTTTGGTGTGAGTCAGCCCGGTTGCAGATCTCTCTTCAAAAATTTTGAGCTGCAAAAGAAAGGCAAGTTCCATCCCCAAGGACAGTGGCCATGCAAATACTTCAGGTCACGATCGTTTGGTTTTGTTCAATCACAGAGTTTCAAAACTGCCGAAACCCTCAGAGTTTCTTTCGTCTGTCATTTTATAGGAGGTAAACTGAGGCACTGAGTGGCTTTTACAGAGGAAACTGGACCTGCTCTCTGGCCCCGGGGCTCTCCGCCGAACCCGCTCATGACCGTCATGGCAGCCTCCGTCTTTCTTTTTATTGAGTGCATGAGTGCAGAATCAGAGCAAGAAGGCTTTAAAGCGTTCTAGCATGACTTGATGCTCTTGTCACCTTTTCCTGCTTGTTGTTTTTGTATTCAGTTACAAATCTGGCTCTGACCCTTGTTGAAAGGGGTCACTGAAAGTGGTAAGGAAAGAGAGAGAGAAATAAGCTTGGTCGTGACCCAATCAGTCCATGGTTACTAAGTTTCTCAGGAATGGAGCCCTTTTCATGAGGTTGAAAAGTGGACGTGGAGGGAAAGCAGGAGCCATGGAGAAAAGATCCAAGGAAGGGCGAGACACCTGGCAACCCCCCCTCGTTCTGGGGTTACAGAAGATCCAGTGGCCCTTGTTGGGCCTGAAGACTAACCAAAGCACGGTAGGAAAGCAACATCCACAGAAAACATTTGTTGCTGCAGAATTCTGATAAAGATTTGATTCCATCACTGGCTAAAAGAGGCAGGAAGAAAGAAGATAACTTTTAAGACAGTTGTTAGGAATGTCTTAAAAAAATAATTTTTCTTAAATTTTAGAACTTACTAAAAATGAGACTTCTTACCCCAGACCCCCAACTCCAGAGAGATTTTGTATAATTTGGTGTGGAGACTAGAAATATTTCTTTCTTGCTGGTGGTGGTGTTCATACAATCATCCAGTTGTGTTTGTTGTTTTTTTTTTTTTTAATTTTTTAAAAAATAAACTTTTGGCAGGGGGATAATTCTAGCTTTACAAAAAAGTTGCAAAGATCATATTGAGAATTCAGTACAGCCTTCATCCCATTTCCCTTATTTAAAAAAAAAATTAAAAGATTTATTTATTTACTTGAGAGAAAGAGGGAGAGAACAGGGGGAGTAGAGGGAGAGGGACAAGCAGACTCCACACTGAGCAAAGGGCCTGACACAAGGCTCCATTCCACAGCCCTGAGATCATGACCTGAACCGAAATCAAAAGTTGGATGCCACCCAGGTGCCCCTGTTACTTCTCTTCTCCTCCTCCTCCTCCTCCTTCTTCTTCTTTTAAGTTGTGGCAAAATATTCATAACAAATTTGCCATTTAACCATTTTTGAGGGTACAGTTCAGCAGCATTAAACACATTCATAGGTTGTGTAATCATCACTGCCTTTGTCTCCTGAAGAGTTTCATCTTCCCAAACTGAAACTCGGTACCCATTAAACAAAGACTCCCCTTTCTCTCCCTCCCCACCCTGAACACCACCCTTCTGCTTTCTGCCTCTGTGCGTTTGACTTCTCTATGTACCTTATATAGGCAGGATCGTGCAATATTTGTTTTGTGACTGGCTTATTTCCCTTAGCATCATGTCTTCAAGGTTCATCCATGTTGTAGCACATGATAGGATTTTCTTCCTTCTTAAGGCAGAATAATAATCTGTGATGTGTATATATAGTATATATGTATATATATAGTATATTTAAATATATATACACTACCTTTTATATATATACTATATATATTTATAGATACTATCTATTTATATACACTTATATGTGTATATATATATAGTCTATCTATATATCGATCTGCCTATATAATCACTTTATTAACACTTGGGTTGCTTCTGCTTTTGACTATTGTGAACAGTGCCGCTATGAACGCGATCTGTAAATATCTCTTTGGGTCTTTGCTTTCAGTTATTTGTGGTATATACCCAGAAGCCTAATGTGAATTTGTCACATAACCATGGCACATTATATTCACTAAACTACAGATTTTATTCAGATTTCCCTGCTAAAATATAATCTTTTACTAAGCAACCCAGGGGACTCTGGTTTATTGAGCTAAGGTTTTAGAAATATTGATTTATTAAATTAAATTAATTAATTAATTATTTTTTTATGATGGATTTAGTTCAGGAAGCAGTGCTGGCTATTGGAACGACAGTCAGTCCCCATGCTGAACCCAGAACAGTTTCAGTGGTGGCCTTTGCAACTCACTGCCTTTCACTGGGCCCAACTCTCCAACCTTCTAAGAAGAATGATCACTTGGATGGTTTGAGAATTTTCTGGAGAATTCTAGAGAGAAGAAGTTCAAGGATCTCAAGTTGTTCTATAGGTAAGAACTTCCCAGCCAGCAGCTATCAAAGGGGAAACTGGCCAGTATTTCTGAATCTTAGAAGCAAACTCAGGAACAGTAAAAAGCCTTGAAAGAAATGTGACTGGAGGTTTCCTCTATCTCTTGTTTGTCTGGGATTGTCTGACGCAGGGTCCAGACTGGGGACATCTGCCTTCCATAGTCACTGAGCATGGAATCACAAGGAATGGTCTTTGCTCATAGTGGGTGGGATCTATGTTTCACTTGAGGAAGCACTTCTGATACAACAGTGGGTGACCCAAATCTTAAGTGCCCTGGTTTCACTTTCCCAAGCAAATGACTCTTGTGTAGTTTCTCAAGTAACTACTGCTAGTTTTAGTGCTTCATTTACTCAACAGATATTTATTAAGAACAAAGTATGGGGGCACCTGGGTGGCTCAGTGGGTTAAGCCTCTGCCTTCGGCTCAGGTCATGGTCTCAGGGTCCTGAGATTGAGCCCGGCATTGGGCTCTCTCCTCAGCAGGGAGCCTGCTTCCTCCCACCCCCTCACCTCCTCTCTGCCTACTTGTGATCTCTCTCTCTCTCTGTGTCAAATAAATAAATAAAATCTTAAAAAAAAAAAAAAAGAACAAAGTATGTACCCAAACTCTACGAGACCATAAAGATGCAGGGATTGGTCAGTTGATCCTCTACCCTTAAGACCCGTGCAGGCTAGTGAAAGAAACCTATGAAAGAAAGGTGCCTATGTAAATACACTTCAGAGCAACGATTATTTCATATTGCGAGTTATTTTTACATGAGTTTAGTGTGGCTTTGACTAAATGTCAAGGGGCCTGGGACCCTTTTACAGCAGCATCAAGTACTTAGGAAGGAGCATGGGAGTATTTTTCTGTAAGAGCCAGCTCGACATGGCTTTACAGCAGTGAGCCTCTGAAGGCAAACACGGAGGAGACTAAGTCTAGACGATCGCTGACTTAGGACTGTTCAATGTCGGATTTTTCAACTTGACAGTGGTGTGAAAGCAATGTGCGTTCAGTAGAAACTATACTTCAGATTTCGAATGCGGATCTTTTCTTGGGCTAGTGATCGATCTGTGGTAGGATCCTCTCTCAGGATGCTGGGCAGGGGCAGAAAGCCGCAGCTCCCAGTCAGCTAGGTGATCACCAGGGCAAACAAGCCATACAATTACAACCATCCTGCACCCATCCAACCATTCTGGTTTTCTCTTTCTGTACAGTATGCAATAAATTACATGAGATAGTCAATATTTTATTAGAAACTAGGCTCTGTGTTAGTGAGATTATTTTGCTCATGTGTAGGCTCACTTAAGCCTTCTGAGTCCCTGTAAAGTAGGTGAGGCTATGTTATGATGTTGGATAGGTTAGGTGTCTTAGATACATTTTTGACTTAAGGCATTTTCAACTTGCAATGGGTTCGTTGGGACCTAACATCATCGTAAGTCGAGTAAGATCTGTATGGAGCAGAAGAGCTTAAAGGTCTATAAACATGTGAAGGAGCATTATTACGGCTGCCCCAGGCATATGGTATTCTTCAAGCATCCTTTCAACTCAGTGTTTTCATACAAAGATGTGGGAGAAAATGGAAAATGAACCCAGGGGGCCATCTTTATGATGCTGCTTTAGATGTACACAGGGATGTGTGTTTCATGGTGGAAGCATGTGAACCCCAGAACAGGCAACCCAAGACACTCCAAGGAAGTATTAAAACAGGGAAATGAGGGGAATTCAGAGAAAGGGGAGGACCTGGGCCAAAATCTGGTTTGGCTTCTAGTCATCTCAGTGACTTGGGAAAAGCCCTAGAGGGCCCATAACAAAGGTAAAGGCAGTCATGACCTCAGCACTAACATCCTTACACCTTTTTGGAGAGATGTCAATTCCTGGGGACCCCCTTGTGGCAGCCCTGACTCAGAAGGAAACTCATCAGCATCACATCACAACATCACA